GGGGGAGGGGGGAGGAGGGAGGAGGGGACGGGTATTTGTATACACAAGGAGTGTAATGCGCACCACCCGAAGGATGGACATATTTGAAACTCGGACTTGCGGGGGCGGGGCGGGGACCAAGGGCAACATACGTAACCTAAACATCTGTACCCCCATAATACGCTGAAATAAAAGGAAAAAAAAAAAAAAGAAGTTGGAAGGTACCTATGGGACATTCCTAGACCCTGGTCACTTCCTGAAGAGACTCAGTTGATTTGGTAAGAAAGCCACCCTTACACATTCCTAGTAGCCAGAAAACAATACAGCAGTCTAAAACAGCGTGGAGTTGGTAGCCAGTCCAGTAAAATAAAGTCGAATATCTTTTGTTGACTGGTCAGTCCTTAGAAAACAAGTATTCAGTAGAATAGGCAAAAAGGAAAAAAAGAGTACAGGTTTTAAGTGAATTATGTGTAAAACACATATGTTTTTTTGACTACCTGAATGGACTCACCCGAAGGAAGAAAGGAAACTTCCTGCCATAGAAGCCAACTCGAAAGAACTCAGGTTCCAGGCGTTGCTGCTCCATAATGTTGTCATAGTAGCTGGCCTCCATTTTCTGTGAATGAGAAAGGCCTTCAGGTTGGCTTCACTGCTGTTGGTGTCCAAAGCAAGTTCTCCCAGGCCCAGCTGGACACCGCCTTCTGGAAAGGGATCATGGCAACTCAATCTAGGTAAGATGGAAGTGAGCCCCTGGCCATGACCAGCTTCTCTCCTGGGAGCTGCATCATGGAAGAGAAAGCCCTCCATCATTGCTGTCTGACAGTGGGATCAGGACCAGCCTGCCCACCCAGCCCTGTGTGGCTGCTCTGAATGTTCTTCCCAGAGGGTGGACTGAGCCCCACTGAGATCTGGGCTTCCTGTACTTGGGGGGCACACATTTAACATGGAGTTTTTCTGCCCAGGGATTTCTGGTTTTGACTGATACTGACTCCACTGGTTAACCCCTGACTGGGGTTGCTTGTAGCTGGCTACCAGCAAGTCTCAGCACCATTTTGTATCAGTTCAACTGCACCTGCTCTTGTTCATCTGTTGTCTGACTAAAGATGATAACAACCATAGTGAGGAAGGTTCAGCTGCCAGCACCACTGGTACTGGTTCCAATTTAGGAGATTTTAAACTTAAAAAATTAACTAATATCCATGATGTTTAGCATTACCAAGCAAGGTTGGTAAGTTTTTTAGTTTTGGCTGAACTTGCTTCACATTTAGAAAAAAACTCACTGAAACTTTGAGTAGGAAGATAGCTGTAATGAATTCAATTAAGCCAGCACACCAGGGAACAGTGGCCTTCAAAACCGGTCGAGAAACTACTGCTAGAGGAAGATGCCCAAACCCCTATCTTGATCAGGGAACAGAGGAGAGTTAGCCACAAGGATGAGGGTATGCTGAGACTGCTAACCTCTGTTTGCTAAAGAAATCAGTATGTGTTATAATTCAGAACCCAGCATCAACAACCAGGAAAAATTTGATGCAGACCTTCAAAGTCTATGGAGCATTTGATAAGGTGCTTAAAAGTGACCACAAGCCAAAGTGAGGAAAGCATTTATAAAGTTTTTTAGATGAAGCATCCTTAAACAAAGTCATTTCAGGAAAACCTTCTTCATGAAGTTGAGCTTCCACCTCCTCCACGAAACCCCCATTTTATTATGCCTATGCTGGGTTCTCCCTTCTCCGAGCATCAGTGGCCTTTGGGGTCCACATCACACAATCATTTGTCAGGTGTGTGTTTTGGTTCCCCAGTCAGACTGCAAGTGTCTCAAGGATAGGAATCTTGGTTTCTGTTTCTCCTGTACTGTCCACAGCACTAAACCAAGGGCTAGATCCATAATAAATGCTCACTTAGAAAATGATGTCAGGAAAGTGCTGGCTCCTCTAATCAGGGATGGGGCAGGGGAAGGGGCAAAGCTCACCCGAATCCAGCTGAGGCTCTGATAATCGTAGAGGCTCTCATACTGACATGCCAGCTCCCTGCACAGTGGGATCCCAAACTCCCAGCTCTGTGTCAGAAATAAGAACAGGGCTTCAGCACCTCAGGCGCCCTCAGAATAGCCTAAGTCCATACTGAACACATCAGAGGTCACAACAAAAGGCCTCCTGCTAGCTCCAATTCATATGTCACAAAGAACATATGCCTCAAAACCAATTTGAGGCCAGGCACGGTAGCTCATGCCTATAATCCCAGCACTTTGGGAGGCTGAGGTGAGAGGATTGCTTGAGGTCAGGAGTTCAAGACTGACCTGAGCAACATAGTGGGACCCAGTATCTACAAAAAAAAAAAAAAATAGCCAAGTGTGGTGACCAGTGTCTGTAGTCCCAGCCACTTGGGAGGCTGAGGCAGGAAGATCACAGAGTGCAGGAATTTGAGATTGTAGTGAGCATGATGATGCCACTGTACTCCACCTTGGGCAACAGAGTCTGTTTCAAAAAAAAAAAAAAAAAGCCCAAACCAAAATTAACAACAATAAAACAATGAAAACACCCAATAGCACAGTGGGTTTCTAGCTCAAGCACAACTTCCAAGTCTCTGCTCAAATGCCTCTACCTCCAAGAGGCCTTCCTTGACTACTCTGTCAAGAACAGGAACTTCCCTGTCCATTTCTGTTCTGCTACTCTGAAGTTATCTTAGTTTTAAAAAATTACTATTTTTTTTGTTGTATTAGTCTTGATTAGATAAAAATTGCATGGGTGGGTAGATATTTAACCCAGGTAGAGACCCTGTTTATTTACTCTACCCTCAGAGCCTAGAACAATTCTAGGCATGTATGAGATATTCAATAAAGACTTATTTAATGAGTTAATGAAGGAAACACTGACCTTTAAGTTCAGATCACATAAGCTCAGAAACAAGGATGTAAACCAGGAAGAAAGTGCCTACCCAGAGACTTTGTAGTAGGCCTGACAATTTCCTTTATGGAAAAATTTGAACCTTAAATTAGGCTTTAGATGATCCTTGCCTAGTCAGATCCCAGACTGTTTCTGTGGTATGGCTCCTGTTATGGATAAAGGCCCTCCAATAAGTGGGCCTTCATTAAGAGGCAATATTGTCCATTTCTTCCTTTTTAAAAAATACAGTGTTTTCTCTCTTTTGTTGGATTGGGAATCATTAGTTTACTTGATATTTTACCCAGGCTATTCTCCCCAACTCTAAATACTAATTAAAAATGTTTTTTTTATTATAGGAAATTTCAAGAATACAAAAAAGTAGAGAGAATAGAAGAATAAACCCCTAGGTACCCATCATCCAGCCTCAACAATGACCAACTCATGGACTCTTGTATCATTCATACCCCATCCACTGACTCTTCCCCATAGTCCTTGAAGCAAATCTCAGGTATGATAAAATTTCACCAATAAATATTTCAGTATGAATCTTTAAACAATAAAGGACTATATTTTTAAAATTACTATTTGAAATAGCATCAGGGAGAAGGAAAACACTTTCATTTGGGATTGTGTTTTTCAGAAGGAGCATATTATTTCTGTCCTTTGAGTAAATTAATACAATATGGATTGAAACTATATGACAAATTAAAAAGACTGAAACAAACCAAAAATCATTTTAAATAGACTTCTTCTCCTTGCACTAATATAATACAGTGCCTCTGCCTCAAGGAGCTAGAAAACATCTTGCACCCTCACACTGCAGCTTTCAAGGGGGCACGTGTCAGTCCTCTCTCTGGCTCCAAATGCTGCTTGCGCAGGTTTCAGCCAAGGACTCTACAACAGAGTCTGCCTGGCAGGCAGCTCCATGGGGGCTGGCTAAGCAGCTGAACTGTGTACAGACTTCTGGCCAGCCTGTCAAGAGCCACCCCACGGGGGACTGCTCATTTACGTGATGCTGGCCCCATGTGGGGCTTAAAGGCACCCTGCCTGTTGACAGTAACTCCCAATAAAACAGGTCTTCTTATCCTTTAGCATCAATGCTCATCTGTCTTGCTGGCATCTCTACCCCACATTGTAATCCTGCTGCTCCACGGTGCCTCCCTCCCCCAGTTAACTTTAGAGTGAGCCAGGATCAAGAGTTTTAAGACACTCTGCCAGCATCAAGGGGTGTGCTGGAACATTGGTGGGTCTGGGGGCTTGACAGCTACCTCTCTACACAGGTAAGGAATAAACTGCAAGTACAACGCATCCCCATCTACATCTTTTCCCTTGGTTTCCCTCCTTCAGGCAGGAGGCAAAGCTAACCCTAAAACTCCTTACCAGGTGTCTGAAATCCAATCACTTCTACCAGCTCTGGCAGATGTGTGCTTTTATGTGTCCTTGTTGCCTCCTCATAGGGATGGCACAAAAAGTTGCACTGATTTAGGGGTTGCTCTTTTTTAAAAAAATTTTTGTAGAGATAGGGTCTCACTATGTTGTTCAGGATGGTCTTGAACTGCTGGCCTCAAGTGATCCTCCTGCCTTGGCCTCCCAAAGTGCTAGGATTACAGGCATGAGCCACCATGTCCAGCCTTAGAGTTCATTCTAATCAAACAGGAAAGGAAAGGAAAGTCCTGGGTCTCTAGTTTGGCAGTCTTTGTACCTCTGTTTACACATTACATATTAGAAACAAGTCATTTCTTCAAAGGAGTAGGGGCTATGGTGAACCTTCAAGCAGGAGAGCCCCAGCCCACTCTGACAGCGAGGGCTGGTCTATTTCTCATCGTCTGCCAGATGAACAGGGACCAGAGCCCTCTGTTTGGCTTCCCCTCCTGTCTGCTCCCTCTGCCTGGGGTTGAAGGACCAGCTCCCATCTTCACACCTTCCCTTCCTTCTCTCAACGCTCACTCTGCCATACTTTGTCTCTTTGGAATTTCTTTCTCCTTATCTGGCCTGGGAGAGCGGACTTTTCATGGACTGGAGTCCAGTCCACCTTGGAGCAGGTTCCTAGGTTAACCACCTCACTACTGGAAGGTATGGCCCAGGGCTAGACTGTGACCATCAGTCATTGGCAATGGCTAATCCTGTTGAGTACCCAGGAAATAAACATGAGACCAAAGGAAATTGGGTTGTCTATTTAAGGCAGACAGCAGAGATGCTGGGAGTGTGTGGAAGAAAAGTCAGGAGGGAATTGGCTTGTGAGGCAGGGTGTGCCAGCAGTGCTGACGGCTAGAACCCCTTTACTTGCCTCTCCCCCTGAGTCTTTTCCTTTTCTGCCCTCCTCTTGTTGCCAAGGTGGCTTTTCTTTGGGCACCAAGTATCCCTGCTCCACAGGAGCATTTTTCCTACAGCAATCAGGTTTTGCTTTTCTGGAGCCATTAAAAAAAACCTGAATGCTTTCAAAAAGAACTGGTTAGGCTCACCTACTGGTTTCATCAGGAGCTGAGGCACAGGGACAGAGAAGGTGGACCTTCTATATGAGCTTAAGAGAATGGATCTGATAAATGCCCTTTGAGGATGAGCTCATGGAAGAGCTCACTGAGTGGTCTGCACTCAGCACAGACTCTGCTCTTCTAGCAATTCACAGCAAAGGCAGGGTTTCTGGAAGGAATGGGGGAGATCCCCAAGAAGGTGGCCTATGGAGACTCCTAGTGCTTCTCTCCTTCCTGCCCATCTACAATACTCAGGCAGGTTTTGTGTTTCATTCCCTAACCTAGTCCATATTATGGTTTAATTCTGCTTTTCTATGCACTACTACAGTATCAGATAAAGAAAGGACCATTAATGCTCACACATTCCACTGGTAGGCTCAGATTAAGCTAACTCTCTACTCTGTACTCCATAGCCATGGAAATAAAAGAGGAGAACCAATACACTAAAAAAGTATTCATGCACACCGACGCCATGCTATGCTATTTCCTCTGAGCTGGAAGGGCTTGCTGGGCATGTGAGTGGCAGCTCCAGGATGGTTGGGTGCCAGGAAGGTAGGCCTAAAACTGTGCCAGTGAGGGGCCCCTAAGTCAGGCCCCAGACCAGCAAGGGAAGGAGGCTTTGGGTCAGCATTGTGGATTAGTCCCATAGGCTGGCTAATAGCTGAGCATGGGCCTCCCTTCTCAAATAGGTTACAAGACAGTTGTAATTTTGGAAAGGTTCTTGCTTACCAGTGCATTCTCTGCATGAGTGAAGGTTTTCTGAGTCTGCTATGTTATATAAAACTGAAGAATGTTTTCTGATTTATGGGCAAAAGCCATTAATGTTTAAATATCTCTTTTTGATGAAAAACTCATTTAAAAAAAACAATTCCATTCATTTGAGTCAGGAGCTGAGCCACTACAATTTTTTGAATGACCCTATTTCAGCTTTTTAAAATGTGCTCAAAGCTGAGTAATGAGAGAATGGCTTCAACGAGTTATATATACTCCCAGCCTTTCCAGTACATGGGCCACACCCAACAGTAGGTGGTCAAAGGGCCCCATGAAGAGTTCTCTCAGAGATTGGAGCAGGATGGCTGAGAAGCCCCAAGAAGGCCTAAACCAGCACTGACAATGTTGCCAATCCCAGAGAAGCTAGTTTGATGGAGAATAACCCCAATATAAGAGAAGCCCAGGCTGTGTTGTAGATAAGGGAAATCTAAGACAAGAACATGTACCAGAAAGGCAGTACAGTCCTCCTTTGGCTATGGTTAAAATCCATTCATTTTTACCACTCACATTTTCTATGACAGGAGATTGGAAAGCCACATCAATTCTTTAAGTAGATCTAATAAAAACAAATGGTTCCAGAAGCCCCTGCTTATACCTGTAAATGTTAATGCTCCTACAAAGCTGGGGTGTGGGGTAGTTTCTACACCTCCAATCTGGAATTGGGCTTTCAAGGCACAGAACTAAGCTGCTGGTTTTTCTTCCCCCAGAGAAAATCATGCTGCCTTCAAATCTGATGCGCATACATGGGCACCCACCCACTCACCACCCCACATACCACTATCTGCAGCTGCTGCCAACCCTATGATGTCAAGATGCAATACATCACAGCAGAAACTAAGGAGCCGAAAGGCTTGCCTAATGACACCTACCTTGCCTTTGTTGAAGTAGTGAATGATCTTCCGGCACAGTCCCTCTTTCCGCTGCCACTCTGTCTGTGATGGGTAGTGGAGGAATTCCCGCAGTGGCCGATCCTCCCACTGCAGCAGCTCACAGTAAAGGAGCAGGGTGAATGCAGCCTCTGTGGGGACAGGCAGCATGGAGGTCCAGGGGCTTCCCCTCAAAGGCCTGGGAGCAGCCTGGTGCCAGGGGACTGTGCTGAGCAGAATGCCAGGGCAAGTTGTGTGTAGCCCAGGTCAGAGACATTAGATACCAAAGATGAGACAGTGGGGCTGCCCAGCAAGACAATAACCCTCGGATAAGCATGAAGGAGCCAAATATCCTGGCAGATACCTTCTTCCCATGGCCTGGTCACTTGTTCTGGGCTCCAGATAAAGAATAAAAAAATGACTCAGTTATCCAGAGTCTGTGCACAGGTTGCCTTGCTTTGCGAGATACTGACATGTCAGAGAGAGCTCTTGGGTTCCTTTTTGCTCAACTGGCTACAGCTTCCTTTCCAAACTTCTCAGAACTGGCTCTTAGGGGTAAGCACCAACCAAGGCTTCCCTTAACCCTCCCTAAGCCAGTCTCAATGCCTCCAGCTCCATTTTATGCCCTCAGCATGGCCCTGGAGATGGCCCTTTCCCCTCATCTTCACCATTTCTAAAAGAACAAAAGAGAAGGAGTGTGAATGGTAGTAATTGCGTCATGGGCCTGGAGCCAGAGGCTCCATTCATGGAGGAAACTAAATTAATACTGGACCCAGAGTGAAGGCCTAGCAACATCTTACTGTGTGTGTGGAACAACTAGAGAGGGTTATGTAAAACAACAGCAGCTAAATACTGTGGCTCTCTAAATTCCAAGGGATGGGACACATTAATTATATCCACTGCTCAGGGTCCCTACTACACAGTTTTCTCTTTTCTGTTCTATTTGCTCATTCTTAGTGGGCATCTTCTACTGGCAAGTTAATTAGTTCTAGCTTCTGCCCTGGATTTCAAGGCCCTACTCAAACCTGCTGCCCATTTCTAACCATTTTTGACCCACTTCTAGTTTTAGCCAGGCCTACTTGCCTATGTCCACTCTCTACGCTCCTCCTCATGCTTGCCTGTCTGTCCCCTTGGACACTGGAACCTCTTGCCCAGGGATGCACACGCCTTCTCACAGGGTCCAGGAAGCCTTTTCTCTCTGGGGAAAAGCCCTGTGGCACTCAGGGTCTCCCTTTGTTGCTTAGGAAACCGTATAAAAAATCTTTTTCTTCCTGCCTATATTCTTTTCAGATGTCATTTCCAGAGCCAAGCATTAGCATCCTCTCTCTGTTCACATCCCTGACCTAGCTTCTTAGTCATAGCCCAGTCCTCTAGGAGTTTAGCAAATGCCTCTACTGGTACATGGAATTTATCAGTCTTTTTCTTCACTGCCCTCTCATAAGGCTGGTGCGATCATGGGTGGAAATGGATATAGAGAATGGGAGATTCAGGCCATTCATTTTAGATTTAATTCTTGCCAAGATGTAATATCAGAAAAGGTGGCATCTATGCTAAACTCTCTCTAATATCTAGAGATAAGGAAGGAGGATTCTCTGTTTCTGCAAATCCATCTGATTCTAGTAATGTTTACAGACAAGAATAGCTTGAATTTCCTGATCTATCACACAAATTCAAGTCCTATGGCTTAAGGGCTAAGATATAGTGGCTAGTCACCACAGTGGAGAAGATGGCTATTTTTGGGGAACTATGGCACAAGGTGATCAGATAGAACATACATCCTCCTAATTCAGAGTGGTTCCCAGTAAACAGTTGTGCCAGGCACTTTGAAGTGCCTTAAAATTTGTTTTAGTTAGAAAAGGCCATAGTAATAGATTAAACAGTAGATATAATGAAAGAGGCCCTGTCTAGCCTATCAAGAAGTCAGATGAACACTCTCCATACTCTCCACTGAGAACACAATGTGGGGCTGCTGTGCAGTTACAGGGGAAGAGCCTAGACTGTAAGGCAGGTCTGCCAGTGAGTTCTGGAAGTCCCAGGGTTAGGAGGATATTCTACTGCTGTGGTCTCACTTAGCTCCAGCTTTGAAGGTCCTAAAAATGCCTCTGTTCATGAGGAGTGACAGGGAACTCAGGATGCTCTGACCTGGTGCACCAGAATTTGGAGCTCACCCTTGAGGCCTCATAGAGGTGGACACAGGGAAAGAAAGTGGAATAGGCTCAAGCAGTGGAGGACGTGGCACAAAGGCACGAGTGGAAGTTCTGCCTGCTTTCTCTCTATCATGTGCCACAAAGGCATTGAGGGGAAAGAATGAGGTGAGGGGACAGCATAAGCCCCAACATTCTGCTGAGATCTGGCAGGCACCAGCTTAGAGCCTTTCTCTGCCAGTGTGCGTATCCCTTCAGTCTGTCCTGATGGGTAGGTGTGGCTCTTCCCTCACCTGTGTAGTTTTCAGCCTGCAAGTGCATGTCACAAAGCTTATGGATGTAACGGATATACATCTCTTCTTTGTTAATCTCAGATTTGTAAAAGTTCTGTAAGAGAGAGAAGGAAAAACACATAAAGATGAGAGTCTGCTACCTGTGGAAGATATACCTGAGCTCTAGACACCTGGCCAGAGCCATGAGGGTGCTGGGCAGGAGGGAGAGGGCGGGTCCTAGAGGCAGACAGCACCAGAAAGAAAAAGGACCAGCCAGAATAAACACCTGCTGGGGGCAGAACCACTGGCAGGTCTGTGGGAGACTTGTGTAGTGTGAAAGACTAAGAGCATCAGGGCAGATCAGGGATCAGGGCACACTATGAATCAGGGTATGTCAGATTGATGGAACCTTGCCAAGAGACCAGGCTAGAGCTCCACCAAAATGGAATTCATTTCATTTCTTTCCCAAGTAGAAATGTGCCTGAGGAGGTGCAGGGCTCCAATAATATATCAGTAACAGAGCTGATGTCCTGACTTAAACCCTTCGGCCTATAGCCATGTATTATAGAAAGGCCAAGCCAATTACAGTGTAGGACAAAAACCATCCAACTACGCAGACAGGAGGGAGAGCCCATGTCCTCTCACCATCAGGTTAACAGTACAGCCGATCTTCTTATTCTCTGTTTCCTCTCCTTTCATGCAGTCCCTGTAAGACAGAGCACAGATAAGCACCCACATTATGAAGTGGTGGCCCTGAGACAACACACGAAACTACAGTATCACTGGGGTATTAGCATGACCAAACCCCAGATTAGAATGCCCTCCAAAAGGAACTGTTTCCGCAGATGAGGACTATGCTGTGAGCTCCCTCTGAGCTGTAGACCCACTCCTAGGGTTCAAAGATCTCTGTTCAACTGAGCCCCTTGTTCTGGTGGCAGAGTGCAGAACTCACATGCCACATCTGGGTATTAAGTGGCACCTACCAATGTCCTTGGCACAGAGGATGTGTCAGTTAAGTGGAAGGCCAAATCCTCGAGTTCCCACAAAGGAAGGCACAGAGCTCTCCTTAAAGTTAAAGGGCAGGTTTCATTTTGTGGGACAGTGCTAAATACAAGCCAAGACCCTCCACTTCAGGACCCTGTGGCCACAGCAACCATAGGATGGCTGACATATTCACCAGCCAGTCAGCATTTCTCTCTATAGTCTCCTTCCTGTGTACTAGTCTTTGGAATCGTCTCTCATCAGAAGCAGCAGATCTAGTGCTTCTTTATCAGTAGAGGCAGCTTCAGGCAGGACTGAACTGCATTTATACCTAGGAGTGTCTGGGTGTCAGAGGGGTCAGGACTGGCCTGTGAGAGACAGGACAATAGCAACACTGAGAATAGATCCTTCCCAAGTTAGAGAGAGGGCTGGTGAAAGCCCATTTTCTTTGGGAAAGAGCAGAGGCCCAGCACAAGGAGATTAAAGAGAATAAGAACCAGACTAGTATGTGCATTTATGTGTTGATTAGTTAATACCAATTTGATGGTGAGTACAAATGGGTCCCGTTCTGCTGCTCTTGTGGTGCCCCACTTTGGATAATGGGC